ATGGGCTAGGGCTCAATCCAATTTTTCTAAACCAGACCGATGGTGGAGATCCAGAAGACGATGATAATGATGACGATAGTAACAAGTTGTGTTCACCAGCCGACATGCTTATCATACTAATTCTGGTCTGTACCTTGCCTTTTGTAATATTTGTTGTACTGGATTGTATATCGTTTTATATCGATATATTTATTTATGTCCTGATCGGTCTGCTCCTGAATGCTTCATTTACAACGAAATACGTGATTTTATCGCTCATGTTGGCTTTTTATATCCGTGATTTATTTGAAGGTGTGACCAAAAGCTACATCAAGTTCAATAACACCATTATTACCGAAGCGATGAAGAAAACAAGAGGAGATATCCTCAAAGTGTCTCTTCTAAATGAAAATCTTCAGAAAAATACAGTATTTCAGTTGATTGACGAGACACCTCTCGGGGAACCTGATGCACAACAAGAAAGCGTCTCGCCAAGTGGCAACTTCAAGCTGACATACGAGGAAGGCAACCTGTCGTGGAAAACCAAACGGTTGATGTTCTTTCTTGACAGAAAAGATACATCATATATACCGAGGAAGTTTTTCTCAGAAGCATGTGTCATGGACTGCGTTGGCATACCGGGGCCACTCGATCAGAACCTTATTGATGTTATCAACAATATTCTACGGATCTTTAGCTTCTTATTCTTCATTATGCTTATTGCCCTGGCTTTCAGCGAAGAGTCTGGATCTCTGGGCACTAATCAAACACTGGCAGCCATAGCTGGAGGCTTGGTTCCCTGGTTATTTAGGAAGTATTTGCAGGCTCCCGAGGATGCCGGTGTTGACATAGAAAATCTTCATTTCCGTGAGGTTTTTAACGATCTCATCAGAAAATACAAAGAGTCATGGACTGTAGCCGATATTGAAATAGCAAACGTTCAGGTGTCGGCCGACCAACCAGTCACTGTAACGGATATAGAAGGCGGTGAAATTCGGGACCAGTCGGGGGAAAAGCTGTTAAAGGCAGAACGTTTTAGCTCTTTCTCGGAGACCGTTGAACCAGAATCTGTAGCGAAGGACGAAGTGCCAGGTGAAAGTAGCGCTAAAAAGGAAAAGAATGCATATGAGCCTGAAACTACAACTACTCGACAGAACTCACAATCTGATAACCAGGATCATTTAATTGTGCTTGTCAACAGGAATTCATCGCGATCTCTAGTAGTTTAGATTGGAACGAACACCACGTTTGTTTCCCATGATATTAAAATAGAGATATCGACATTTACTATTCCGTGCTAGATTGCGTTGCGCCATTCGGCGATTACAACTAATAAGACAGACAGCTGAAAGACCTTGTGAAATCGCGAAACGGAAACGTTACATATGTATTGTAATGTTTAAAATCAATTAACAGCATACTACAGAATGCCTTTGTAAGTATAACAAATCAGTTTTAAGCTCGCTTTCCATGTACCTTTAGGCAATTTAAAAAGTAGTTTTAATTTAATCAATTGCCTTCCTGTTGGTGATATGTACCAATTTATCTCATTTGATGGATACTTCCGCTATGATAAGTCTTCATCGAGATTAAACACGATATTTACATGTTGCAATCACTCATCGAAACATTGATCATGTCTTTTTTGTCTTATCTCTAATCATGTAATATTGAAAAAAAGTAATTTGGGTCATTTTCCTTTTCCGCTGATGGGCGTAGCCAGTCAAGGCTTTGTTGTCATGTCAGGAAAAAATGGGTTTGTGTAAAAGATAACTGGAAAAATAGGGGTGGATTTTTCATCCTTGTTTTGTCGCAAGGGGTTTGCTTTTGAGATTTGGGGTGATTAACTGTTGATTTTTCAACAATTTATTCTGAAATTCGTGATCCTAAACATGCTTAAAATATAGCATCCTCTAAAATGATCCCTTATGACAGTTAAAGGGTCTCTGGCGAATGCGCGTGCTAGCCCGAATACTGCACTACATTTCTCCTTTTAAAGCTGGTGAAAATTAACAGGAATACCTGGGATACAAATAATGTTGGTCCAACAGCTATGTGGCAATTTGCCACTTGTCTTTACGTTAGATTTTTATAATGCATTTGCCTTTAGATCACAATTTCAAACCTCTGAATTTCATCAATGAAACAGAAATTTCAAACATTAAAGTTTTCTATTACATTTTATTGTAATTGCTCGTTTGGTATTGTCATGTATTTTTGTAGATCTGTGTTTAAAGTATTTCTGACCAGATGTCTTTTTACCTTTTTTTT